ACCATTATCCTCGACCTTCAATGGGCAAGCTAATTCTGAATCCAAGTGGCCAAGACACTGTGCATCTTAATTTTCTCGATGAGCCTACCACGAGGAATCTCGTCAAAAACCTTACTAAAATCCATGTAGACAACATTCACTGCTCTTCCCTCATCAATCACCTTCATCACCTCCTCAAAAATTTCAATCAAGTTAGTAAGGTATGCCCTGCCCTGTTAAAAGCCATGCTGACTGTTCCTAATTAGGCCATGCTTTTCCAAATGCGTGTAAATTCTATCCCTAAGAATTCTCTCCAATAGCTTCCCCACCATCTATATGAGACTCACCAATCTATAGTTTCCTGGATTACCCCTATTTCTCTTCTTGAATAGAGAAACAACATTAGCTACTCGCCAAACCTCCAGGACCTCTTCAGTGGCTACCGAGGATACAAAGATTTTAGACAAAATTCCAGCAATCTCCTCTTATGCCTCTCAATAACCTGGAGTAGATACCATCAGACCCTGGGGATCTATCCATCTTAATACTCTTCAGGAAATCCAACAGCACTTCTTTCTTTGATCTCAAAATGCCCTACCATATTAGCATTCTCCACACTAATCTCACGATCCTCCACATTGCTCTTCTAAAGTTTTTGAGAAGATTTGTAGCTCCAGTTGTGGATGAGGTTGCAGACTTGCTCGCTGAGCCAGTATGTTTGATTGCAGACATTTCGCCACTCTGATACGTAACATCGTTAATGCGCCTCCAGTGAAACGTTGGTGTTCCATCCCGTTTGTTATTTATATGCCTCGGTTTGCTGGGGTGGTTGGTATTACTTCCGGTTTTGTTCTTCAGTGTATTGTAAATTGGGTCCAGTTCAATGTGTTTGTTGATGGAGTTCCGGTTGGAATGCCAGGCCTCCAGGAATTCCCTGGCATGTCTCTGTTTGGCTTGTGCTATTATGGATGTGCTGTCCCAGTCAAATTCGTGTCATTCTTTATCCATGTGTATTGAGACCAGTGAGAATTGGTCATGTCTCTTGGTGGCTAGTTGGTGTTCATGTATCCTTATTGTCAGTTTACTTCCAGTTTGGTGTATGTAATGTTTCTCAGTCCTTGCATGGTATTTTGTATATTAAATAGTTTTATCGGTTGTGGGTATGGGTTCCTTTACTGATGAATATACCCACAACCAATGAAACTAATGTAATATACAAAATACCATGCCAGGGAATTCCTGGAGGCCAGGCATTCCAACCAGAACTCTGTCAACAAACACATTGAACTTGACTCAATATACAAACCACTGAAGAACAAAAACAGAACTAATACCAACCACCCCAGCAAACCAAGGCATATAAATAACAAGCGGGACAGAACACCAACACTTCACCGGAGGCGCACTGACAATGTTACCTAACAGGGTGACGAAACATCTGCAGTCAAACACACCGGCTCAGCGAGCAAGTCTGCAACCTAATTGTTCTTCTCGCTGAATATTGTCATGAAGTACTCATTTGGGATCTTGCCCATATCCTCTACCTCCAAGCACAAGTTCCCTCCTTTATCCTCAAGTGGGCTACCCTCTCCCTAGTTATCCTCTTATTTTTAACATATGTATCAATTGTATTGGGATTCTCTTTAACCCTACTTGCTAAGGTTATTTCATGGCCCCTCCTTGCTCTCCTAATTCCCCTGCTTGAGTTCTTTCCTGTTTTCTTTATATTCCCCACAGGCCCTTCTGATTTTAGTTTCCTAAATGTTACATATGCCTCATTTTAATCTTTTGACTAAATTCAAAACCTCTCTCGTTATTCAAGGGTCCCTTACCTTGCCATCCTCATCCTGCTGTTTTTTGGCTGTCTCTGACTTCATTTGTCAGCTACAGTTGCATCATCCTCCCTGTCACATGTTTCTTCTTACTTGGGATGCATTTCTGTCATGCCTTCCAAATTACCACCAGAAACGTTTTTTTATTCACTCGCAAGACATGGGCTTTGCTGGCTGGCCAGCATTTATTGACTGTCGCTAGTTGCCCTTGAAAGGTGCTGGTGAACCGTCTTTTCAAACTGCTGCTGTCCATGTGCTGTTGGTAGACCCACAATGCCCTTAGGGAGGGAACTCTAGGATTTTGACCCAATAACAATGAAAGAACAGAAATATATTGCTAAGTCAGGACGGTGAGTGGCTTGGTAAGGAACTTGCAGGTGGTGATGTTCCCATGTATCTGCTGCCTTGCTCTTCTAGATAAAAGTAGTCATGGGGGGTTGAAAGGTGCTATTTTACGGATCATTGGTGAATTTCTACAGTGCATCTTGAAGATAGAATGCACTGCTCTGCTGAGCATCGGTGGTACGGATGGGAGTGGATGCTTGTGCATATGGTGCCAATTCAGCAGGCTGCTTTGTCCTGGATGGTGTCAAGTTTCATAACTATTGCTGGAGATGCACTTATTCAGGCAAGTGACAGCCATCACACTCCTAACTAGTACCTTGTAGCTGGTGGACAGGCTTCAGAGAGTCAGGAGGTGAGTTACTTGCTGCAGTATTCCTAGTCTCTAACCTGTTCTTGTAGCCATTGTGTATATGTGGAGAGTCCAGTTGAGTTTCTGGTCAATAGTAACCCCATGAATGTTGACAGTAGTTGATTCAATTATGGTGACACCATTGAATATCAAAGGGCAGTGGTTCAATTGCCTCTCATTGGACATGGTCAATGCCTGGCACTTGTGTGATGCAAATGTTACTTGCCACTTGTCAGCCGAAACCTGAATATTGCCCAGATCTTGCTACATTTAAACATGGACTGTTTCAGCACTTGAGGAGTTGTGAATGGTGCTGAGCATTGTGCAATCATTGGCGAACATCCTCACTTCAGACCTTATGATGGAAGGAACGACATTGATGAAGCAACTGAAGGTGGTTGGTCATGGGCATTCTGCGGATGTCCTGGAGCTGAGAACTGGGCTCCAAAAACTATGTCCACCTTCTTCTGTGCCAGGAAAGACTCTGAACAGTCGACTGATTGCAATTTTGCTCAGAACTCTGGATGCCACACTTGGTCAAATGCAGCTTTGATATCAAGGACTATACCTCACCTCTGGAATTCAGCATTTTTTGTCCATAATTGAGTCAAGCTGTTATGAGGTCAGGAGTTCAGTGGCCCTGTGGGAATCCCAAACTGGGCATCACTGAGCAGGTTATTGCTAAGCAGGTTGTACTTTAAAGCACTGTTGATGACAACTTCCATCACTTTACTGATGATTGAGAGGAGACTGATTGGGCAGTAATTGGCCGGGTTGGATTTGTTTTTTTTTGTGTACAGGACATACCTGGGAAATTTTACACATCGTCAAGTAAATACTAGTGTTTTAACTGTACTAGGACAGCTTGGCTCATGGTGTGACAGGTTCTGGAGCTCAAATCTTCAATCCTATTGCTGGAATGTTGTCAGGGCCCATAGCCTTTGCAGTATCCAATGTCCTCATCTATTTCTTGATATCACATGTAGTGAATCGAATTGGCTGAAGACTGGTATCATCTGTAATGCTGGGGGCCACTGGAGTAGGACAAGTTGGATTATCCACTTGGCACTTCCTGCTGAAGATTGTTGCGAAAGCTTCAGTGTTATTTTTGCATTGATGAGCTGGACTCTTCCTTCATTGAGGATGGGGATATTTGTGAAGCCTACTCCTCCAGCGGGTTGTTTGTCACCACCATTCATGACTGATTTTGGCAGAACTGCAGAGTTGAGATCTGATCTATTGGTGGTGGTATTGCTTGTCTCTGTCTGTCACTTGCTGTTTGGCAAGCAAGTATTACTATCTGGTAGCTTCACCAGGTTGATATCTCATTTTTAGGTAAGCCTGGTGCTGATCCTGGCATGCCTTCTTGCACTCTCCATTAAACCAATGTTGATCACCTGACTTGGTGTTAATGATTGAGTGGGGGAGTTGCCAGGCCATGAGGTTGCAGATCACGCTGGAGTACAATTCTGCTGCTGCTGTTGGCCTACAGAATCTCAGGGATGTCCAGTCTTGAGTTTCTAGATCTGCTCAAAGTCTGTCCCATTTAGCAACGTGATAGTGCCACCGAAGTATTTACTGTGGAGTAAGACATGGAAGTTAGGGAAATTGGGGGAGAAAATAATGATGTCTTGAAAACTGTCCACATTAAAGAAGAGGAGGTGCCTTACACAACAAGAAAGCGACAGGGACAAGTTACACTGACTAGTTGGCATAATTATAAAGACTATCAGGAATCAGAGACAGTGCATCGGGGACTCCACGAATAGTCCTTTATTCTCCAGGTATGTGACATCATCAGATTGTGTTGAGCTTAGTGGAGCTTCAACTTGAACTCTTCAGAAAAAAATCCTATTTTGAATCCGGCCATGGTAAATTGAAAATTGAAAAGCTGAATGGAAAAAAGTGACCAAAGAACAGGTTATTGTAAAATCTCAATTTGCAAATGTCTTTTGGGGAAGGAAATATTCTGTATTTAGCTGATCACGTCTAAATCTGAAACCAATCCCACACCAATGTGGTTAACACATAGCTACTTGGAATGGGTTGGATATATTGTTGTGCTTTACAGGGCACTGAGGCATGAATAATAAAACCAACCTTGTTAACAATACTTCCACCTCGAGAATAAGAGAGAAAAACTCAATTTTTCATGGAGAACTGACAACCTGACTACGTTTTCCAAATTATTTTAAATCTCTGTTCTCTGAAAAACCCGAAACGAAAAACAAAATAGAAATATAAATTCTGAAGCAGATCTTCGTTAAGTCGTTGGATGATCCACACCCGGACACAGCAAAAACAAGTTTTGCCTCGAGCTTCTTGGATCAGCGCGCGCAGGTTCCAACGGACACTCCATCCTTTCAGGTTTGCCTTCGCGCCTCACCTGCCGGGGAGGGGGGCGGGACTACGTGCCTACGCGATGATGTCAGGTGGGGCCGGCAGGTGGTGTGGATGGGAGTGCGCTTGCGCGGAGAGCAGGTGCTAGGTAGGTAATTGGTGCGGGAAAGGGGAAAGTACAGGAGTCTTTTCCGGCTTGGTTGTGCCGTTTCCAGGTGAAGAGGATAGCAGCCGCTGGCTTCTCTCATACGCTGTGTAGATAGACAACACTGAGCCCACCTCTCCTGTCCTGCGATGGAGAAGCGGCTGCAGGTGAGGTCGTGGATAACAAGGTGTAGAGCTGGATGAACGCAGCAGGCCAGGCAGCATCAGAGGAGCAGGAAGGCTGACGTTTTGGGTCCGGACCCTGCTCCTTCCGCCTCAGTCCAACCAAGTGAGCTATGTTGGCACTCCTCTAAGACCGATTCTCATAGACCTGCTCAACCTTTCTGTCCTGTGCTTTCCATCCGTGACTCCGAGTGGTGTGCTGTATTTGCTTTACCCTTTCAGCCTGCATTCGATAAATCGAATGAAGAAGATGACGTTATTGAGCCCGGGACGTGCCTGCCATTTTTTTTTCAAGGAGGGAAGAAAATCAGTTTACATGGGGAATGACTCAGGCATCTCTGTTTTAAGCTAAGGTGTGAGGGCAATCGGTGAATAAGCACTGACCAAGCCTAGTCATTTCATTACTGCTTAAGCTTCTCAACCATTAGTTTTCTGGAATGTAGAGGGATTTTTTTTAACAATCCATTGTTATTTTTAGTTGCTTTAAAATTCTTTAATGGAATGAGGGCGTTGCTGGCTAGGCAGCATTTATTGCCTATTCTGAATTGGCCAGAGGGCAGTTCAGAGTCAACCACTGTGAGACTGGAGTCACGTGTAGGCTGGACCAAGTAAGGATGGCAGTTTTGTTCCCTCAAGGACATTAGTGAACCAGATGTGGATTTTTCTGACAATAGATTAATGGTCTTAGACCCTTGATGAAGGGTCTAGGCCCGAAACGTCACCCTCTCTGCTCCTATGATGCTGCTTGGCCTGCTGTGTTCATCCAGCCCTGCACCTTGTTGTCTCGGATTCTCCAGCATCTGCAGTTCCTACTATCTCAGATTAATGGTCTTCATTAGATTCTTAATTCCAGGTATTTTACTTATTGCTGGATTTAGTCCAGAGACCCAGATAATACCACCAAGCCATTGTGCCCCCCCCCCCCCCCCGACCCGGGTTTGTTTGTTTGTTTGTTATGTAGATCATGTACCTGTGTGTTTCTTAGACACAGTAAAGAGAATCAAGAATGCAGGAAGGAAACATTGGCACAAAATTGTGGGTCAAAGGGCCTGTACTGGGCAGTACTGTTCTATGAAGGGGGCTGAGACCTGGTTAGAGGCTTTGGGTGAATTGTGTGAATACTGTCCTTACAGGATTGAAGCTTAGGTGAAGGATGGCTGACTGGGCTTACTGAAGGAAGATGACTTAAACTTTATTACAGTATTGTCTTTACTTCTTTGGGTGTCTGGACCTGACTAAAGGGAGGGAGAATGAGCTGGGATTGTGTGAGATGCTGCAAGCACAAGTTTGTACTGGAAAATGAGGTACATTCCAGATTGTGCTCTTTGTACAAATTAAAATTTAAATCTAGGGAATGAGTGAGAATGTAACAACTTTTCAAGCCAGGCAGTGGTTAAAAATTCAAAAATCGGGGAGAGGAGGATACAACTAGAATTCCTGATCCAGGCAATCTAAACTCACTTTTGATCTGTTTCTGATAAATAATGGATTAAAGAACTTGTATTTAAGATCTGCCTTATATAACAACATAACCTAACACTTTACAACCAAAGAAGTGTGTTTTAAAATATACTTTTTAATTATCAGGTTACAGAGATAACCTAACCTCCTGGTCACCACCCATTTCAACACCCCGTCCTACTCCCCCTCCGACATGTCTGTCCTTGGCCTCCTCCAGTGTTGCAGCGACTCTGAATGCAAACTTGAAGAACAACACCTTATCTCCTGCCTGGGCACCCTATAGCCTGGAGGACTCAACATTGAGTTCTCCAATTTCAAAAAACCTTACCATCCATCCCCACTTCCCCTTCCATTCCACCTTCTGACCCTCACTTCCAGCCACCAACCGGATCCATCCCTCCCATCAACCAACCAGGTCGTATCTACCACCAGCGTCCACCTATCCCCTCAATTCTGCCTCCACCCCTTCCCCAGTCTCCCAAAAAGATTCTGCCTCCACCCTTTCTCCCCCACCCCCACATCCAGTCCTGAAGAAGGGTAACACCTGAAACATTGACTGCTCCTTTCCTCCCGATGGTGCCTGGCCTGCTGTGTCCTTCCAGCCTTTTCTTTGTCTACCTTGGATGCCAGCATCTGCAGTTTTTTGTCTCTAACTTGTGATTGGATAGTTTGTAATAGCAGACAATGCATTGTTAGCCACAAACAGTCACCATTAACAGCTATTCACTCTCCTGGCCAGATTGTTATCCACTGCTTTGTCTGTCCAACTGATCTTTTCTCTTTGGGCTCTATCTTCAATCACTTATCGCTTACCCCTCCCCCTACCCAATCTTCCTAGCTACCATCCTTTCTAAGGAAAGGTCACCAGACTCAAAATATTAACTCTAATTTCTCTTCACAGATGCTGCCAGACCTGCTGAGCTTTTCCATGAATTTCTGTTTTTGTTGCAGTGAAAAGTATTGTTTTGCATGCAATCTGGCAAATCATATTTTGCATATGTACATCAGTATAATAGAACAGATTGCAGTATATAGTCTTACAGCTTGGGAAGGTGTAGTGAAAGATCAACTTTTATATATGAGAAGTTCTTCCAAAAGTCTGATAACAGCAAGGGGAAAAGCTGTTCTAGAATCTGTTGGTACATGATGTCAAGCTTACACTTTCTGCCCGATAAAAGAGCGTGAAAGTGTGTATAACTGAGTTAGGAATGTTTATGACTTGGAGAATTCACTGGTGATTTGCCCATATGCTTGCTGCTCCTGTTCTTCTAGGTCACCAGTTTGAGAAGTGATTTTGAAACCTTGGTATGTTGCTATGTCTCATCTTGTAAGTAGTACAGTGTTATGTAGCAAGAATGGCAACTGATTTGCATACAGAATTTAGTGTTAGAATTAGATTTTATTGTCATGTGTACTCAAGAACAGGAATACAGTGAAAAGTGTACAAAGTTGCCATTCTCCAAATCTTAAAATTCTGGTTTTTTATTTTGCATTTTTAAAAAAACGAGAAGAAATAAAAGAAACAGAGCCAAAAGAAAAACGTCCAGATTTTAAAGTCCTCATCCAGATAAAAAAGAAAAAGTACGGATATTAAAGTCTTATCTCACTGTGCCTAGCCCTGGCCTGGAGTTTCAGTCCATGTCTTCTTAGGACAAGCTACACCAATCGCCTTTGCTACTGTTACATTGAGATGATGAATGACCAGACTTTGTGTGTGTCTGTGTGTGTGAGAATATTGGTTGAATGATAAATATTGATCTTGATACAAAGAAGCTCTTCTTCACATCTTCAAAAAGTGATATTTTAGGTCACTTGAGAAGGCAGAGCTGCAATGTAACATTTCATCTGAAAGACAGCATTCCTTGTGCTACACAGATTGACAGGATCATTTCTATTTTAAGAAAGGATACAAAAAATGTTTGTTTTATTATAGGTAACAAGAGGGCAAAGAAGAGTCATGTTCTACATCTAGCATCCTAATACAAGAGCTCCTGGAATGTGACAAAATGCAACATTAGACAAAACAGTATATGATGGTAAATAATTGGTTTCAGCCTGGAAAAAACTATTGAATGAACCTATAGCATATCAACTGCTTGGGAAAGTTAAATATAAAGTTTGTATGTAAAGATGGTTCTACGTGAATCTCCTTTCCCCAATGCCTGTGTCCATGGCTTACACACTGCAGCCTGGGGCTTGATTTTCCCCTGTTTCTGGTCACTGGATCACATGGTAGCATCTTTTAAGCCAACAACTTATGAGCAGCAACAGAAACAAGAGCAAGAGTGCTATGTTTGGCCACTGGAAGTTTTCTTCAGATTTCTTATGTATGTGACTTTGTTGGTAATCTCTGTGCCATTGGCATTAATTGGATTCATCATCTGGGCACCTTTACAAATAGTGAGAAGACCCTTCAATTATTCCTGTGTGAAAACCGCAAAAGTATACATCCAGGAGGAGTGGATGGGATATGGAGAGGGCAAAGGATTTAGCTTTGTGGAGGCAAACTTGTGTTTTCTGCCTAACTGCTTGGCCCGCTTTAACAATCTGTCTCAGACTCAAAGGAGAGCAGTTCAGATTGCCAGCCATATCAGCGATTCTGTCAACCGGCCAAGAATTAAGGTTTGCGTGGACTCTCCAACAAGTGTGACTGCCAGCTTTCAGAACAGCCCCTTGACTGCTGTTAAACAAGTATCCTGCAGCGCGACTGGAACACAAGGACCCAGAGGGTCAGTTCTGGCTGTAAACAACCTACACCACATTGATAGCTCAGAGGAGAGCAGTGAAGTAGATAATGTCCACGAATGTTTGGATGCGCATCAAAGCAACAAGGATCCTTTGGATCTTACAGTGATGGAAGGAAGCAACCTGTCAAGTGCCTTGGATGAGATGCCACCCAATCAGCCTAGCAAGCAGCAAGCTCTGTCTTTCAACTCTCTGAAGAGCCAGGGTAAACCTCAGAAAAAGCGAAATGTGGAAGATGATCTACCTGCAGAAATATCTCCGCTCTTTCCTGCTGACGTAGCCTTTGTCTGTCTTCTGGAAGTGTTTGAGAAACGGGCAGCAGCCAAACTGAAGCAACTCCTTCAACCAGCTTTTGGACACATCCTTCATGATGTAGGTGTTTATGGCTTCCAAGGATGTTGCGAGTTTAAATTCTTCAACAGCGGTATCTTCCTTGCCAGCCGCTATCCCATCCTAGATGCCAAGTTTCATTGCTTTCCTAAGATCCGAGGAGAAGATGGCCTTGCTGCTAAAGGTCTCCTGTGTGTTAAGGTAAGGGAGGATTTATTTCCCAGTCAGAATCTTGACATACACGTTGTCTGCATTTTGAATGATGTTATGTATCGCTGAGTTAATTTCTGTCCTCAGAAGCTTTTGGATTCGTGCACTACTCCAGAGACTTGAGCACAAAATCTAGGCTCACCCCACAACAGTATCGAAGTGCTACACTGAAGTCTGAATAGCATGCCCTCATTTTCTATGTATGAACGTTCAAGCACTGGACTAATTTTTGCTGCTTTGTTGAATGTTAACATCAAGCCTTAAAAGAATTCTGAACTTCACTCTTAGCTACCTGAACTTTCTTTGTGCACATGGCTTAATTTTTTTATTTGATCTGATCTGAAGAATTAATTGGGCCATGGAATAAAAGATGGGTGGGAGGTGAGGGAAAGGGTGGCTGTTGGCTGTGGGATTCTGGAGTAAAACCACTGCTGGACATAAGAGGACATAGGCTGTGAAATGGGCAAACAATGGCAGATGCAAAGTGAAATGGTGAGTACATTGCTAAAAGGAGACCAGAAACCAAAGCTTTTCATCTTGCCCTCATAAATGGTGTATAAAAGGGTCTCTCTCTTTCAAGTCTGTTTCTTGCAAGCTAGCTCTAATGAGTACAAGATGAAAAGCTTTGATTTTGCTATGAGGTTGTTTCCCCTTGTTTGTGGGAGAGTCTGAGACTAGAGGGTGTGATCTTAGAGTAAGGAGTCACCCATTTAAAACTGATAAGGAGAAAGTTCTTCTTTGGTCATCAGTCTGTGGAGTTCTTTACCACAGAGGGCTGTTGAGGCTAAGTTATTAAGTGTGCTTAAGGTTTTTAATTAGTAATGGAATTGAGTTATGGGGTAAAGGCAGGAAAATGGAGTTGAGGATATTCAGATCAGCCAAGATCTCATTAAATGGTAGAACAGACTTAATGGGCCAATTGTCCTATTCTACATCTAAGTCTCGTGGACAAAGTAAAATTGTTCTTGGAGAACACACAAGGCGAAGGATTTAGGTAGATTAAATATTTAGAAGCCATTTCCAATGACAGAGTCCGAACCAAAACAGCCTAGCTTTAAGGTGATCAGCAAAATTCCTAGAGACGACACAAGTAGTAGGAGCAGGTGAAGACTTTATGGCCACTCAAGCATGTTCCATTGTTCAGTTACTGAACTTTAAATCACCTTTTGCTTTCTGTTCAATCCTCTTTGCCTTGCTAAATTTCTGGAGTCCAAAAATTCATCTCCCATCTTGAATATACTTTAATGACTGAACACCACACTGACTGAAGTAAAGAGTTCCAAAGGTGAGTTAAACCTGCTTACGCAACAAGTCATTAGGGTTTGGAATGTGCTGCCTGTTAAGGTGATGGATACAGATGCAAAAGTAGTTTGGAAAATTCTTTGAAAAAAAAACTGAGAATTATTTAGTACCCTAACTAGTATGAATTTTCTCCAGTTATTTTGAAAAGTAATGCTGTGAATCTTGTTTCTGTGCTCCACTGTTCAGTTAAATAGACATTGGAGATGCTATGTATCAAAACCTTGTATGGCATAGCCGCCATGTCCAATAATGTAGCAATCTCTACCAAAATAGAAGAAAACATGAATAGGCTTGCCAAATGGGGTGATAAATGAAATCCAATACATAAATATTAGGTGATTCATTTGGGAAAGAGAAATAGACTACCTAACCTCTTGGAAATTGAGAAATTAAATATTGGTAAATTTTGAAGAACTGGAAGAGTGCAGCGCCACTGCAAAATGTCTTGTCAATTCAAACTGCACCAGAGAAGAAACAAGCAGAACAAAAAAAAAATGCTTGATGTGTAATTGCTGAATTATTTTTGTTGCGGTGCCCTTGAAATTAATTTATGCACAGCACCAGTTCCCTGGCAATCATGAGTATGAATATGACTGATCATACGTTTGGATGGGTTGCTTGCTTGCTTGCCAAGGTAGGATTTGAATTAAAATCCTGATTATTCCAAACAGAGGCATTCTTTACCCTCCTCCTCCTTTCTCAGTGCTGATCCAGCATTTTTGATTTCCAGCCATTTTTTGATCCTGACCACTTAATTTACATCAAATATTGGATGGGGAACCCAACGGGAATGTACAGCTTAGTGTTGTTAAGAAGCTTGCAAAACAATTGGAATTCATCCCAAATCTGAGTTGTTCCTGTTCAAACCAAATGGCCACCTTCTCTGCCATAAAGACTCTGACTCCGTGACCTGAAGCAAACAAAATGCCTCCTTATCTTCACATCAACCTGAGCCAATATGCTCATACTACCCAATAAAAACTGCCCCAGTAAGACATGTTTCATGTGCTGAAACCAGTGTCCAGGCAAAGTTAATAACTGAGGCTGTAAAGAGGGCTTTAAACAGATTCAGAACAAAATAAGTGAATTAATGGCAAAAGTTAAGGGATTAATGAGTGTGGTAGTACAGCAGTCATGGAAACATTGCTGCCGGTAAATTAAAGTTGAGAACTAAATATTCAGGGGTATATGACTTTTCAAAAGGGCAGATAGGAAGGAAAGGTTGGAGGTAGCTTCATTAGTCCAAATTGTAATAAGCACAATAACAATAAATAATTCTGGATTGAGAAATGTAGAGTACATGTGAGTGGAGGAGGTAAGAAATAATAAGGAAAGGAACACACTGGTGGGAGTAGTCCTTAGGCTACCTAGCAGTAGCAATCCTGTAGGATAGGGCATGAATCAGGAAATAATGAGGGCATGCAAAAAAAGTCATGACTTTATAGAATCACAGAATAATAAAATTTTGCATTACAGAAGGAGGCTTTCAACCATCTTGTCTGCACCACCACCTGAAAGAGCTACCCAGCTGGTCCCATTGTCCAGCCCAATCTCCATAGCTCTCTAAATTCATCACTTTTAAATATATATCCAATTCTCTTTTGAAACCTCAGAATCCACCTCCATCACTCTCTCAGGCAGTGCATTCCAAATCCTAACAACCCTGACTTTAGAAGTTTCTTTTCATCTCATTCCTAGCTGTCTTGTTGACAATCTTGAAATTGACCCCTAATTATTGACATTCCAACTAGTGGAAACAGAATACCGTTTTTTTGGCCTACCAAAATTATTCACAACTTTACCTCGATAAGGTCACCTCTTAATCTTCTCTGTTCCATGGAGAATGAGCCCAATCTAATTTTTTCCTTGTAATGATCTTGTAAATTGGGAAATCAAATTAGCAAAGAAGAATTCATGGAGTGTACTCAGGATAGTTTTCTAGAACAATATTTGCAGCTTTTTAGCGACAACAAGGTGCAGAGCTGGATGAACACAGCAGGCCAAGCAGCATCATAGGAGCAGGAAGGCTGACGTTTCGGGTCTGGACCCTTCTTCAGAAATGGGGGAGGGAAGGTGGTTCTGAAATAAATAGGGAGAGAGGGAGAGGTGGATGGAAGATGGATAGGGGAGAGGATGGGTGGAGAGGAAACATACAGGTCGAAGATGCGGGGATGGAGCCAGTAAAGGTGAGTGTAGGTGGGGAGTGAGGGAGGGGATAGGTCAGTCCAGGGAGGACGGACAGGTCAAGGGGGCGGGATGAGGTTAGTAGGTAGGAGATGGGGGTGCGGCTTGAGGTGGGAGGAGGGGATAGGTGGGAGGAAGAACAGGTTAGGGAGGCGGGGACGAGCTGGACTGGTTTTGGGATGCGGTAGGGGGAGGGGAGATTTTGAAGCTTGTGAAATCCACGTTGATACCATTGGGCTGCAGGGTTCTCAAGCGGAATAGGAGTTGCTGTTCCTGCAACCTTCGGGTGGCATCGTTGTGGCACTGTAGGAGGCCCAGGATGGACATGTCGTCTGAGGAATGGGAGGGGCAGTTGAAATGGTTCGCGACTGGGAGGTGCAGTTGTTTATTGCAAACCGAGCGTAGGTGTTCTGCAAAGCGGTCCCCGAGCCTCCGCTTGGTTTCCCTCATGTAGAGGAGGCCACAACGGGTACAGTGGACGCAGTATACCACATTGGCAGATGTGCAGGTGAACATCTGCTTGATGTGGAAAGTCTTCTTGGGGCCTGGGATGGGGGTGAGGGAAGAGGTATGGGGGCAGGTGTAGCACTTCCTGCAGTTGCAGGGAAAAGTGCCGGGGCTGGAGGGAGTGTGGAGCGGACAAGGGAGTCACGGAGAGAGTCCCGCTTTGCAGAACACCTACACTCGGTTCGCAATAAACAACTGCACCTCCCTGTCGCGAACCATTTCAACTCCCCCTCCCATTCCTCGGACGACATGTCCATCCCGGGCCTCCTGCAGTGCCACAACGATGCCACCCGAAGGTTGCAGGAACAGCAACTCCTATTCCGCTTGGGAACCCTGCAGCCCAATGGTATCAACGTGGATTTCACAAGCTTCAAAATCTCCCCTCCCCCTACCGCATCCCAAAACCAGTCCAGCTCGTCCCCGCCTCCCTAACCTGTTCTTCCTCCCACCTATCCCCTCCTCCCACCTCAAGCCGCACCCCCATCTCCTACCTACTAACCTCATCTCGCCCCCTTGACCTGTCCGTCCTCCCTGGACTGACCTATCCCCTCCCTAACTCCCCACCTACACTCACCTTTACTGGCTCCATCCCCGCCTCTTCGACCTGTCTGTTTCCTCTCCACCTATCCTCTCTTCTATCCATCTTCCATCCGCCACCCCCTCTCTCCCTATTTATTTCAAAACCCCCTTCCCCTCCCCCATTTCTGAAGAAGGGTCTAGGCCCAAAACGTCAGCCTTTCTGCTCCTATGATGCTGCTTGGCCTGCTGTGTTCATCCAGCTCTGCACCTTGTTGTCTCGGATTCTCCAGCATCTGCAGTTCCTACTATCTTTGCAGCTTTTTAATCTGTTTCTGTTTTCTGTCCCTTTCTATACCACTCTGGGTGTCATTGCCTGAATAACTGCCCTGCAATGTACCATATCCTTTGCTTTGTAAGGCTAAATTTCTCCTGTCCTGTACCCTCCTGCTTTTCCTTTTATTTTCTAAACCTGTGTGAATACGCTTTGCTTTAAAACTTCAACACTTAAGTGTCGTCCTTTTTGCAATCCACTTCCCTGTGGTGTGTGGGCCAGGTTAATAAAAAAACACTCCTGCAATGTGTCAGTCGGCAGCAACAAATATATCATAAAAATCTTTTTTACTTTCAGATCCAGGTTGGTTTGACTCAGAAAGGCCAACAGATTGTGGGGTATCTCAGCTGCACTCACCTGCACGCCATAGCAGGTAAAGAACATGGGTTGTTGGTCATTGAAGTAACTGAAACTGATTTGAGCTCAGGGCACTACCCTGAGAAACTCTGTCAAAGCTTGGGGCAGAAATGATCAACCTCTGAACAATCACAAGCATTTTCATTTGTACCAGGTATGGCACCAACCAGTGTAGAATTTTCCCTGTTTCCTAAGGGTTCTAAACACCACACTAGACATTATATGTAGCCTTGATGAAGTCAGTCTCTCCAACCTCTCATGGAGTTCAGCTGTTTTGACCAGGATTGGATTAAGGCTGTAATGAGGTCTGGTGCAGTTTGGTGGAACTGGTGGGCAGATTGTTGGTAAGTGTGACTTGACGGCATTCAATGATAATTTTCATTACCATTCTGATGACTGGAAATAGATTGAGAACAAGACAGCCTGATCTGAGGCTTGCCTAGTTCTGCAGTTGAAGTCTTTAGTAATGCCACTAGGCTGTTGTCAGGATCTGTAACCTTCAGGAGTGAAGTCTGGTCCCTTTGACGAAGATGATCCCAGGCAGAAACACATTAGCTTTGTGTCCTGTGGAGAAGGACACTGAAGTCCCATGAACACCAACATTCATTAATCTTTTACAAATTAAAAAATATTTTCCTACCAAGGTCAATAGCTTTATATTTCCTCACACTAAGTTCAATCGTTTTTCTCCACTCACTTAAACTATCAGCATCCCTTTGCAGAACATTATGTCCTCCTAACTTTATAACCATCACACCTGTATACATTTTCATATTCTTTCATAGAATGTGAGCATCACTGGCTAGGCCAGTAATTTTGCCCATTTCTAAAGAAAATATGGTGAGTTCCTTTCTTGAATCACTAGTCGATGTGGTATTGGTACACTCGGTGTGATTACACTTCATCAATGTCATTGACATAGATTATGAATGAGGCCCAGAATTGAATCTTGTGCCACCTGACTAGAAAATCTTTCAACCTGAAAAATGACCCATCTATCTCTGCAGCTTGTTTTTTTTGTTCTAAAATCTTACCATATTAACACACTGCTTCCCCCTTATTTTTTGTCACTTAGATTTTGGTAATTAAATTACATCCACTTGTTCACCTTTTCCTAAAAGAGCAGAATATGCTGAGCAACAAAAGAAAAAAAATGAAATTATTATCAGCATTCCATAATGAGTATTTGTTTTTATTCTTTATTGGGATATCAGGATTGCATTCAGGGACAGCATGTGTTGCCCATCCCACAGGTTGATCAGATCCTACTGTCAAAAATATTTTCGAGAAAAGATTCAGATTTGTGATAGAAGCAAAATACTGCAGATGCTGGAAACCTAGAAAAGAACTGAAAATTTAGGAGAGACACAGCTGGTGTGGCAGCATCTGTAGCAAAATAAACATTTGCTGTGTAGGATCTAATAGTCTTCTCAGAAGTAGGAAACATTCAAAATGAGTACGGGGCAGGCACTGGGTTAGGGTGGATGATGGGGGAGAATGTGAGATATATTAGGGGGAAGCGATGGCCTAGTGGTATTATCGCTGCACTGTTAATCCAGAGACCCACATAATGTTCTGGGGGATCCAGGTTCGAATCTCGAATCCAATAAAAGATATCTGGAATTAAGAATCTAACGATGACCATGAATTGATTGTCGGAAAAACCCATCTGATTCACTAATGTCCTTTAGGGAATGAAACTGCCATCCTAACCTGGTCTGGCCTACATGTGACACCAGAGACAACCACATTGCTGTGGGCCTGAACTGCCCTCTGAGCAATTAGGGACAGGTAATAATTGCTGCCTAGTCAGCGATGCCCTCATCCCGTTAATGAATAAAAAATATCTGTTACAGTGCAAAAGACTGATGGCATAATATGCCAAACAAGGCAAGTGCAAGGTAAAAAGAGGTGGAAATGGGACAAGTTTATTGCCCAAAGGCAAATCCTTGGCTCAATGTCAGCTGGTCCCAAGGCATTTCCTTGGCTATTTTTCAAGTGGCTTGCCCATTGCCGCCTCTTCAAAGGGACAGGATGAGGAGGCATGTCCCAAGTCTGTATCCAACTGGAATGGGAATTGAACTTTGGAACATCATAAGATGGTTGTGGTTGTTGGAGATCAGTTCCTGGTTTTCTGTTTCAAAATATCTCGTACAGGAGTTCCTCAGGGTGGTGCCCTAGGCCCAAGCATCTTCAGCTGTCCATCAATGACCTTCCCTCCATCATAAGGTTAGAAGTGAGGATGTTGCCGATGACCATTCATGATTCCTCAGATACTGCAATAGTCCATGTCAAAATGCAGCAAGACCTGGTATGGTCAAGGTTTTGGCTGAAAAGTTGTAAGTGACATTTGCATGCCATATATGCCAAGCAATGACCATTTCTAATAACATACAATATAGTCATCACCCCCTGACATTCAATAGTGTTACCATCACTGAATTCCCACTATCAACATGCTGGGGGTTACTATTGACCAGAAACAAGAAATATTCCCCACTTGCCTGAACATGTGTAGCTCCAACAACACTCAAGAAGTTTGACACCATCCAAGTCAGAGCAACCTGCTTGATTGACAATGCATCCACAGACATCACTCCCTCGCTACCAAAGTCCAGCGGCAACACAGTCGGTGCACTGAAGAAATTCACCAAAGATACTTAGGCAGCACCTTCCAAACCTGAAAACACTGCCATCTAGAAGGACCAAGGCAATGGCTGCATCAGAGCACCACCACCTGCAAGCCACTTACCATCCTGTTTTGGAAATATATCTCCATTCCTTCAATGTTGCTGGGTCAAAATCCTGGAATTCTCTCGTTAATGGCATTGTGGGTCTTCCTACAGCAGCATGTGGATTTCAGCAGTTCAGGAAGGCAGCTCACCACCACCTTCTGAAGGGCAACTAGGGGTAGGCAGTGAACACTGGCCCAGACAGCAAAGCCCATGTCCCATGAATGAAGAACAAAAAACCTGTTGGCTGACTAGCTAACCAGCTAATAGAACAAATTATGGTGGTGTTACAAATTACTAGAGGTTGTCAGTTTTTGTATTGCACTGTACATGTACTATGGGTAGTGATGGTGGAGATCTGACTTTTTTTTTGTCCATTGCATGGCTGATCAGGAATCTCTTGCTCTCTGGTCATGTTGTGCAGTCAAAGGATTTTCAAGTTTAACATGTAACTGTTTGGCTGTGTTATGAATACACCAAGTCCTGAGGTGAGATTCAAACTTGGGGCTTCTGGCTCTGGCAGGAACACTGCCCACTTTGCCATGATACCCCAGAGAACAAAGAAACAAAAAATGTCTGGAGGAGGTGTAAATGGGAATAACAGATCCATGAACAACAGCTGGTGTCCAAAAAACCAAGCACAGTGAAGGTTATGACTTGAAATTGTTGAACTCCACCACCTATAAGTTCCCCTCCAAGCCACTCACCATCTTGATCTGGAGTTATATCACCGTTCCTTCATTGTCACTGCATCAAAATCCTGGTCGGCCCTCCCTTGTGGCGATGTTGGGCTACCTACAAGACATGGACTGCTGCGGTTCAAGAAGGCAGCTCACCACTACTTTCTCAAGGGCAACTAGGGGCAGGCAATAAATGCCGGCCAGCCAGCAACGCCCAAGTCCAATGAGTGAATTTTAAAAAAAACATGCTTTTGAGGTTGATTATCTGGAATAAATTTTGAGTGGTTTTCATTCCTGAAATCTGTGTAAAATTGATTCCCTCTCTATTTAGAATTGCAAACTAAGAATGCTAATTCAAGTGTGAGTTTGGGTCTGTCTAGTTTCAAGTTTGTGTGCCTTTTCAGAGGATTCTCACATTCGCCAAAGTCAACTGAGTCATATGATAGTATGGATCAATGAGTTCCAGAATACATCTAGGAACGAGGAAGAGAAGGTAGTGTTTGACGTTCTTTGTGGGGATTTCAATTTTGACAACTGTTCATTAGGTAAGTGTCTGTTCGTACAATGGAAAGTAATAATGCTGTCAACTCCACTGCTGATGATACCCCATGGTCACTTGTGTTATTTAATTTTGCCTGATAACATTCGAAGAGTTTGTTCAGACTTTGTGTCGCTTTTTTGATCTGACTTAATTTGTATTACTTCAACCACCTATTCCCCACCTTAGTACTTTTCCCAACTTTGCCAATTTGAATTAGCTCCTCTGCTGAAATTATTAACCATGCCTTTGCCCCTTCATTGGCTCCTTGCCAAACAAGAATTGGTTTTAAAATTCTGTTCCTTGTTTACAAGTCCCTCCCTGACCTCACCTCTCTCAATCTCCCAAATTTCCTTCAGCTCTGCAACCCTCCAAGATATCTGTACTTGTCTAATTCTGGCTTCTTGTACATTCCAAGTTATTATCTTCCAATGTTTGTGGCTGTGCTTTCAGTTGCCTAGACACTAAGTTGTGAAATACCCTTTAAACACTTCTGTCCCTGTAACTCACTTTTCTCCTACAATATATTACTTCAAACCTACCTCTTTAACCAAGCTTTTGATCTCTAACCTAAAATTTCCTCAAGTGACTTAGTATCATATTTTGTTTTATAATGCTCCTGTGAAGTATCTTGAAATGTTTTTATTATGTTCAAGTTGCTAGATAAATATGTTGTAATTAATCATCTGTGTGCAGACTGTTCACTACCAATGTATATTTGAATTAGTGTTCAGAATGTGTCGCTAGCAATTCTGGTTTTTACTACTTCTGTAATCAATGGGATTACTTTGCTTTTCAGTGGCTCACTTGACCATTTCTGAGGCAGTTACTAACTTGGCATGGGACCAGATTCACCAATTTGGTTAATGACTGCCGGTTCACTTTCGTACAGGATGTTATTAGACGAGTAGGGTATTACTGAACTAGTTGGGTTTTAAAATACAATTCAACTGCTAGTTGCTTTAATTTAACTGGTATTAGTAAAATCTAAAGTCTTGCTGGAAGAACCCAGGTTTTTAGCCTGGATCGATGCACAAGTATCTGGTCTTAAGACAGTCTAATAATCTGGAAAATGAAAACGTTATCTTATTTTATATATTAAAGCTGAATACTAAAATAGTTCAAATCCAATCATCTCAATGCTGAGGCCATTAGAGGATTCTACTTGGACTGAATGATGTTAACTGAATAACAATCTTATTTTTCCATCAGAAGACCAATTGGAACAGCAGCATCAGATACTCCAAATATACAAAGACCCCTGCTGTTTTGGACCGGGTAAAGAGAAACCTGGAGTCATAGGTTAGTACTCAGTTAACTTCTCAGTTGTAGATTCATTTGGCACAGAAACAGATTCTGCAGTCTAGCTCGTCCGTACTGACCATGTTTCCCAAACTAAAACTAGTTCCCCACTTGCCTGCGTTATAAATCTGATTCCTATTTTTATTCATTCTTTCATGGGGTGTGGGTCTTTCCGGCAAGGTAAGTATTTGCCTATTTTGAATTGTCCTTGAACTGTGTGTCTTGCCAGGCCATTTGCAAGAGTCAACCGCATTGCTGAGGGTCTAGAGTCACATGTAGGCCAGACTGGGTTAGGAAGTCTGATTTCCTTCACTACATTAGTGAACCAGATGGAGGGTTTTGAACATCAATCTGATGGTTTCATGGTCACTATTACTGAAACTAGTTTTCAATTCAAAATATTACTTCCACCAATTGTCTTTCCTGTTTCTTTTTATTATGTGAGGTTCCACACATATACTGCTGACACTCAGCTCTACCTCATCACCACCTTTCTTCATTGTCTGAAAATTGTGTTTGTGTGTGTCTCTCTCTCTCTCGTGCAGAAATTTCCTTGTTTTTGCTCATTGGAAGCACTGAAGCCATTGTCATTGATCATCATCATCATAAATTCACTGACACCATCTCTATCTCTGGCTGAACCAATGTGTTCATATTTAGATCAAGATTAGCTTCCTACATCTCAAACAAAGAACAAAGAAGATTACAGCACAGGAACAGGCCCTTCGGCCCTCCAAGCCTGCACCGATCCAGATCCTCTATCTAAACCTGTCGCATATTTTCCTAGGATCTGTATCCCTCTGCACCCTGCCCATTCATGTATCTGTCTAGATACATCTTAAATGACGCTATTGTGCCCGCCTCTACTACCTCCACTGGCAACGCGTTCCAGGCACCCACCACCCTCTACATAAAGAACTTTCCACGCATATCTCCCTTAAACTTTTCCCCTCTCACCTTGAAATCGTGACCCCTAGTAATTGAGTCCCCCACTCAGGGGGGGAAAAAGCTTCTTGCTATCCACCCTGTCTATACCTCTCATGATTTTGTAGACCTCAATCAGGTCCCCTCAACCTCTATCTTTCTTATGTAAATAATCCTAATCTACTCAACCTCTCTTCATAGCTAGCGCCCTCCATACCAGGCAACATCCTGGTGAACCTTCTCTGCACCCTCTCCAAAGCATCCACATCCTTTTGGTAATGTGGCGACCAGAACTGTACGTAGTATTCCAAATGTGGTCGAACCAAAGTCCTATACAACTGTGACATGACCTGCCAGCTCTTGTACTCAATACCCCATCTGATGAATGAAAGCATGCCATATGCCTTCTTGACTACTCTATCGACCTGAGTTGCCACCTTCAGGGTACAATGGACCTGAACACCCAGATCTCTCTGTGCATCAATTTTCCCCAGGGCTTTCCCATTTACCGTATAGTTCGCTCTTGAATTGGATCTCCCAAAATGCATCACCTCACATTTGCCTGGATTGAACTCCATCTGCCATTTCTCCGCCCAACTCTCCAATCTATCTATATTCTGCTGCATTCTCTGACAGTCCCCTTCACTATCTGCTACTCCACCAATCTTAGTGTCATCTGCAAACTTGCTAATCAGACCATCTATACCTTCCTCCAGATCATTTATGTATATCACAAACAACAGTGGTCCCAACACGGATCCCTGTGGAACACCACTGGTCACAATTCTCCATTTTGAGAAACTCTCTTCTACTACAACCCTAGTCTCTGTTGCCCAGCCAGTTCTCTATCCATCTAGCTAGTACACCCTGGACCCCATGTGACTTCACTTTCTCCATCAGTCTACCATGGGGAACCTTATCAAACGCCTTATTGAAGTCCATGTATATGACATCTACAGCCCTTCCCTCATCTATCAACTTTGTCACTTCCTCAAAGAATTCTATCAAGTTGGTAAGACATGACCTTCCCTGCACAAAACCATGCTGCCTATCACTAATAAGCCCATTTTCTGCCGAATGCAAATAGATCCTATCCCTCAATATCTTCTTCAGCATCTCTCTGCAATTGCAAAGCTCAGTGCAAGCTGGAAGAACAACACCTCATTTTCTACTTCGGAACTCTGCAACCTTCTCGACTCAATATCAAATTCAATAATTCTAGGGGCTGAGCATCACCTCTCATCTCTTTACCCCTAACCACACACACCAGGCCCTGTCATCACATAGACTGCTGAACAATCCATTGATAAACAACTGACTGCCAGCTACTCTCAGTCTCCATTAGCAGCTATTCATTCTCCTCGGCTGACTTTTATCTATTCCTTTGTCTGCCAACTGTGTTTCATTGCCTCTGGGCTCCATCTCCACCTATCCTTTACTCTTTATTCCCGCTTCCTCCCAGCTCCTCTCACCAGCCTTTTCCCAGCTAGTTAGTTCTGAAGAAGGGACACTGGACCTTAAAAATGTTAACTCTGCTTTCACTCCACTGATACTGCCAGACCTGAGATTTTCCAGGTATTTTTGATTTTGTTTCCATTAGTAAGACTGCTGGTTTTCACCCAACTCTGTGGAGCCAGGTTTATCTGCTACTAAAAGCCTCATTTGCTTTGTTACCTTTTACACTTGACGATTCCAATGCACTCACTGAGCATCCCATCTTTCTCCTTCATAAACATAAGGCATCTGAAAATCTGATGTCCATATTCAGTCTCTCTCCAACTTCCACTCACTCATCAGTGTTCTCTCTCATTTGAAAATGTTAACAGCATTAATTTCAAAATTCTCATCCTTTGTTTTTAAATCCCTTTGTGGACTCCACCCTCCCTAGAATTCTCAGCATCTGCACTTCTCCAATACTTGCCGCTTGTACATCCCTGCTTTAAACCTTGCACTATTCGTGGCTGTAACTTCCGCTGCTAAGGTCCTAAACTCTGCAGTTCCATCTGTAAACATCTCTACCTCTCTATCACTTTCTTTCTCCTTTAAGAATTTTCTTCTGACCCTATGATTTTTGATCAAGCTTTTGATCGTAGAATCCCTACAGTGCAGATGGAGCTTTTTGGCCCATCAAGTCTGCATCAAACTTCTGGACAGCATCCCACCCAGACCCAACCCTATCCCTGTAACCCTGAATTTAGCATGGCCAACCCACATCACTTGCACATTTTTTGGACTATCAGAGGAAACCGGAGCAACCAGCAGAAACTCGTGCAGACTCCCAGCAGACAGTCAACTGATGTTGGAATCAAACCCAGGTCCCTGGTGCTGTGAGGCAGCAGTGTTAACCACTGGTCCACCACCATCTGACCAAACATCTCCCATCTATGACAATCAAATGTTGATATAACTTCTGTGTATTGCCTTGGGACACTTCACTGCAATGAAGGACTTATAGATGTGTAGGTTGTTATGGATGAATAGCTTAGTCCTGTTTCTATGTTCCCGTAAGAAAGCAAAATTTTAAAGCACCTTCATTAAAGATCTAATCTTCACCATTCAACTTGAATTTGTTTGTATTCAGTAGGTCTACCCCCATGGAATCTCAAGGAGTTATTAACATTCCAAATCTCTTAATGGTGGTAGTCTGACAATTCTTGAGCACTGTTATCATATGGTCCTCTTACAAACAGATTATCTGAAGAGATTAACATAATGAAAGTTGTTGCCCACAGACATCCTTGGAAAATAAAAGGCTTGTCCCACCTTTTTGCTTAGGTACGCTATTACAACAAAGAACCATACATGAAGATTCAGTGAAGAGCCCAGAAAACTTGCAGCGGTGAGTATAGGCGCAAGATGGACTAAACAAACAACAGAACTGGACTCAGTTGCAAAATTCTCTGCAGTTGAGTGTCGACTGTGGCTCACTGGGTTGAACACTTGCCTCTTAGTCAGAATTGTTTTTTTTTCATTCAGTCGTGGGACATGGATGTCTGAGCACTGAGCTGTTCTGCACTCACATGGCAAGTACTTTTGGGAGTACAGTTCTGGAGGAGCCATATTTTAAATACGACTTTAATAAACCAACAGCTGCTATCTTACATGAACTAGCAGATCTCGTGCCATTTTTCAGAGGGGAGTGGAAAGTGCCTCTCAACTCCTAGCCAATGTTTAAAAATGATTGTCTGGCCATTTACCTCTTGCTGTTTGTGGGACTGGGCTCTGCATGAATTGGATGCCAGATTTCGTTTATTCACTCTAGGACATGGGTGTCATTGGCTGGCCAGCACTTATTGCCATTCCCATTCCCTAGTTGTCTGTGAGATGGTGATGGTGAGCTGCCTTCTTGAACCGCTGCAGTCCATGTGCTTCAGGTTGACCCACAATGCCAGGATTTTATTCCAGCGACAGTGAAAGGATAGTGATATATTTCCAAGGCTGGATGGTGAGTTGGTTGGAGGGGTATTTGCAGGTGGTGGTGTTCCCATGTATCTGTTGCTCCTGACCACCTAGATGGAAGTGGTCATGAATTTGGAAGGTGCAGTCTTAGGATCTTTGGTGAATTTCTGCAAGGCATCTTATAGTATACACTTGCTATTGAGCATTGGTGGTGGAGGTAGTGGATGTTTGTGGACGTAGTGCCAATCACATGGGCTAATTTGAATTGGATGGTGTCAAACTTCTTGAGTGTTTTTGGAGCTGCACCCATCCAGACAAGTGGAGAGTATTCCATCAGACTCCTGACTTGTGCCTTGTAGATATTGGACAGGCTGTAAGGAATCGGATGATGAGTTACTTGCCGCAGTGTTGCTAGCGTCTGACCTGCTTTTGCAGTCAGTGTTTATATGGCAAGTCCAGTCAAGTTTCTAGTCAATGGCAGCCCCAAGGATGTTGATTATGATGGAAACACCATTAAATGCCAAGGGTTAGATTGTCTCTTCCTGGAGATGATCATAGATTTCATAGAATCCCTGCAGTATGGAAACAGGTCCTTCAGCCCAACAAGCCCACACTGACCGTTGGAGCATCCCACCCAGACCCATCCCCCTATAACCCACCTAATCTACACATCCCTGAACACTACGGGCAATTTAGCATGGCCAATCCACCTAGCCTGCACATCTTTTTGCACTGTGGGAGGAAACCGGAGCACTTGGAGGAAACCCACACAGACACGGGGAGAACGTGCAAACTCCACACAGACAGTCACCCGAGGGTGGAATCGAACCCGGGTCCCTGGCACTGAGGTAACAGTGCTAACTACTGAACCACTGTGCTGCAATCATTGCCTGGCATTTGTGTGGCACGAATATTATTAGCCACATGTCAGCCCAAGCCTGGATATTGTCCAGAACTTGTTGCATTTGAACACAGACTGCTTTTGTATCCGAGGCTCGAATGATGTGGAGCTTTTAGGCAATCCTCGGTGAACATCCCCACTTCTGACTTCGTGATGGAGGCCAGGTCATTGAAGCACTTGAAGATGGTTGGGCCTAGGACCACTGTATTGAGGAACTGCTGCAGAAATGTCCTTGAGCTTAACTGACTGATCTCCAACAACCATAGCCATCTTCCTACGTGCTAGGTATGACTCCAACCAGCAGAGAGTTTGCCCCCTGATTCCAGTTTTTCTTGGGCTCCTTGATTCCACACTTGGCCAAATGCAGCCTTGATGTCAAGGGTTGTCACTCTCAGCTCAGCTTTGGAATTGATTTTTGTCTATGTTTGAACCAAACTGCAATGAGGTGAGGAGCTGAAGATAGTTAGGCCTGAGGAACTCCTGCAGATGAGATAACTGACCTCCAACTACAACCATGAGTGTCCCTGGCAGAACCCAAATCGGACATCAGTGTGCATGTTAATGTTGAGAGGTGCTGCTTGATAGCTCTGACACCTTCCATTGCTTTATTGATGATCGTGAGTAAACTGGGATAGTAGTTGACTGGGATAGTAGGAACTGCAGATGCTGGAGCATCTGAGATAACAAGGTGTAGAGCTGGATGAACACAGCAGGCCGAGCAGGAAGGCTGACGTTCCCTGTAACCAATGGTGTTCCACGGAGATGCGTGCTGTATCCATTTTTGTCATTTATATAAATGATTTAGATGAGAATAAAGAGAGCATGGTTAGTAAGTTTGTGGGTAACACCAAGATTGATGATATAGTGAACAGTGGAAGAAGGTTACCTAAGATTACAAAGAGATCTTGATCAATTGAGTCAACAGGCTGAAGAGTGGCTGATGGAGTTTAATCTGGATAAATGTGAGGTTTTGCATTTTGGTAAAACAAAGACAAGACTTATACAATTAAAAGTTGGTTCTTGGGCATGTTGTAGAACAGAGACCTAAGGGTTCAGGTATATAATTCTTTGAAGTTTACACCACATATATGGTGGTTAACCAAGCTTTTAATATTCTTGCCCTCACTGCTCAGCCCTTTTGATACAGGAGTTATTTTGACGTGGTACAGGACTTTGGTGAGACCTCTTCTGGAGTAAAGAGTCCAGTTCTGGTCCCCCTTCACTCAACCTGAAATGTTAACTCTGATTTCTCTCCATAGATGCTGCCAGACCTGCTTAGCTTTTCCAGAAATTTCTATTTTTGTTTATTATTAACCTGGAGAGCGTTCAGAAGAGATTTACAGGATGTCGCTGGGAATGGAAGTTTAGAGTTCTAAGGAGAGGCTGAATAGGCTGGGACTTTTTCTTCCACTGGTGTGTAGAGGTTCAGAGATGACTTTGAGGTTTATAAAATAATCAGGGGGTATAGATCAGGTGAATGGCAGGTGCCATTTACATATGGTCGGGAATTTAAAGACTAATGGGTATATTTTTAGCATGAGAGTAGAAAGAGTTAAAAAAGACGTGGGTGCAATTTTTTTTTATACAGAGCAGTCGGTGTGTGGATGCAGGTACGGTTTAAATATCTTTTAAATATTGTAACAAGTACATGAATAAGAAATGTTCAGAGGGCCAAATGCAGGCAGGTGGCACTAGTTTATAGAATTATGGTCTGTATGAACTACTTGGACCATTGGGTTTGTTTCTGTGCTGTATGACCACATGACCGCAGAGCTTAGATCTGATCCACTGATTGTGAGATTGCTTAGCTCTATCACTTCCAGCTTATGCTGTTTGGTACAAGCTTGCTAGCTTCACCAGGTTGACAGCTCACTTTTAGGTATGGCTGGTGCTGCTTCTGCAATGCCCTCTTGCACTCTCCATTGAACCAGGGTTGATCCCCTGGATTGATGTTAGTGATTGAGTGGGGGATATACCGGTTCCAGATTGTGTTGGAGTACAACTCTGACTCTGTTGATGACTCTCATCACCTCATAGATGCCCAGTCTTGAGTTGCAAGATCTTTTCAAGGTCTGTCCTATTTAGCATGATGGAGAGTATGTTCAACATGAAGGTGGAACTTCATCTCCACAAGGACTATGCAGTGGGTTACTCTTAACAATTACAATTAACAATTACTCTCAACAATTTCTGGAAAAGCTAAGCAGGTGGGTAGATGCATCTGTAACCGGTGGATTGGTGATGAGGTTAAGTATGTTTTTCCCTCCTTCTGTTGGTTCCCTCACCACCTGCCACAGACCCAGTCCAACATCCTTATGACATGGCCAGTAATGCTGCTGGCCATGTAATACCACTGTTGATGGTAGACAAAGAAATCCCCCAGCCGGAGTACATTTTGCACCCTTGCCACCCTCAACGGTTCCTTCAATTGTTGCTCAACATGGAGTACTGATTCATCAACCGAGGGAGAATGGTATGTGATGACCAGCCGGAGGCTTCCTTACCCATGTTTAACCTGAAACCAAGAGACTTCGTGGGGTCTGGAGTCAGTTTTGAAGACTCCCAGATTAACTCCCTACCAACGCATACTACTGTACTGCTACATCTGCTGGGTGTGTGCTGGTGGGACTGGAACATGTCCAGGGTTGGTGGTGTCTGGAACATTGTCAGGTATGACTGTCAAACTGTTGCCTGACTAATCTGTGTGACAGCTCTCCAAATTGTGGCACTAGCCCCCAGATGTTAGTAAGGAGGACTTTGCAGGATTGACAGGGCTAATTTATATCAATGGCAAGATGCCATAACATGGTTATGTTGTGATGTGCTTCAGTATGTTGAGAAAGGTGCTATAAATGCAAATTTGGACCTTCAATTTCTTACTAAATGTAGCTGCTATTTTAGAAGAAAAAGCTTCAAATTGTTCATCCTACGTGATGGACTTTGAGCTATTTCCATAATGAATTTATATCCAACTGTCCCTGTTGCACATTTCTGCTGGATAAAGCGATAGCTATTAGAGTAGTCATAGAGTAATATGGCCCAAACTGGTCCATGTTGACCATGATGACCACTCAGTTAGTTAAATGTTTCCCAGCTTCACTTTTTGATGGTTCTGACTCAGACACAGAACAGAGTTCCTTTATAATTATGTTTAAAATCGGGAAGAACATCAGTGAACACTGGAAATGTGCTATCAAATCAGAGACTGGTGTCAAACTGTGATCTGTCCCTAACTGAAAGTTAGGTTTAAATTTCCAGTCTGAAACTGACTGTAGTTGTTGCAAAGTAACCACCACTTTAAAGGCTGGTGCTAACTCTTAAAATAGACCTGTTTGAAGTAAATTGTTCCAAGTCAATAGCAGATGGAGGAGTTCACAGGAACCTGCTAAACCTCACTTTTATAAGATTACAATAGACATTTAATCTCCAGATAAAGAAGGAGAGCCTTTCTACGAATTCCCTGTTTTATTGTGTCAGATACCAGAAGAAAGGAAAATACAATTAAAAATAATAGGAGTTATTGCAACACAGGAGGAGACCATCCTGCCCATCAGATGCTTCTATCCATAGTGTATAGTAAACAATGGTGCTAGTTTTTAATGGTATTGTGTCCTGTCCAGTCTGTCCCATGCTCTCAGACCCTGCTGGTGGTATTCAGACCTGGAGGCAGGCGGTGACCACACCCAGAAAAATGGTACTAAGCAACAAGAAAATGCCTGACAAGATCAGCAGCAGAGAGCAGTGGGTGAAGGACTCTGAAGTGAAGCCTTGAGGATTACTGAGAGGACAGGCCTGACCAGCACAGAAAACACGGGTACTGAGTGAAAGATACATGAATGATCCCAGATTTAAAACACACATGTTTTCAATCCTTTCAGAGCTTTGGAGATTGAAGAATTGAGGAAACAATACCTGGAATTTCCCATCAACCCTGCTGTCAACACCACAGGCAGCACAGAGCCCAGAAGTGTAGGAGGTGGACGCAGGATTGATTATTTGCTGTATCGGGAAGACACTGTTGCAAAAGAAGTGATTACTGTGAGTGTGACCTCTCTGTACCCTAATTCTCAGTTCCATTCAGCCAACACTCTTGTGCCCACTGACTTAGATGGGTTTAGCAATGCCTTAAAATTTGCATCCTTGTTCTTCTATCCCTCAGCAGCTTCGCTCCTCATTATCTTTGAAGCAACACTGCAAGCAGACAAGATCTCTGCACTCCCATTATTCTGGCTTCTTGTATTTCACATATTCAACATCCATTATTGGTGCTTGCGCCTCTAGCTATCCTGGTCTGAAATTTCCTCCCTGAATCTCTAACTTCCTTTCCTCCTGAAATATGCTCCATTAAAACCTCCATCTCAGACAAAAGGTTTGTCAGATGATATCTCATTAAATAACACTGAAATATTTTTGATGTTCCTGGGGATTTCATTGCACATCACAAATGCAAATTGTTTTTGTAGTACTGTTAATCAGTGACTCTTTGTCTTCAAAGCTAGTTTCTAGGATGATCAACACTTTTTTTCACTAGTTCTAAAACCATGTTTTTCAATGTTTGTACTTGTGCGGACCACACAAAGCTACTCTTTACAGCACTTTCCTGCAGCTGAATGGCTTTAACTGTTAACTGGGTCAACCAAATAATACTGTGCCCACAAGAATGATGAGTAATTCACCTCCTAACTTTTTAAAGCCTTTATCTATGAGGCACATGAGGAATGTAACAGAAATTTCCGACTTGCCTGGTTGCCACCAGCATTCCACAAGACTATAAGACGCAGGAGCATGAGTAGACCTTTCAGTCCATTGAATCTGCTCTGCCATTCAATGAGATTGCGGTTAACTTAATAATTATTAACTCAATTTATCTGCCATATATCAGTAACTCTTGAATTCCTTACTGATTTTTTTTAAAAAGTCCATCTGAGTGATGAATATACTTGATAACAAGCCTCAACGGCCCTTTGCAGTAAAGATTTCCCACAAATTGACTATCCTCTGAAAGAAAACAATTATCCTTCTCTGTCTTAAATGTGCGATCCCTTACTCTGAAATAATGACCTTTGGCCCTAAACTATCCTACAAGGGGAAACCAGTTTCTGCGTCCTAATAATCTTATATTTCAATAAGGACTCCTCGCATTCTTCTAAACTTCAATGAGTACAAGCCAAACCTACTCAACTTCTCATAAGAAAATCCCTTCATACTTTAAATCAACCAAGAGCACCTTCTCTGGACTGCCTCGAATTCCAGTATATCTTTCCCTAGATAAGGGGCCCAAAACTGTTCACAGTTTTCCAGCTGTGGGTCTGACTAATGCATTGTATAGTTTTAACAAGATGTCCCTTATTTAATACTCGATTCCCACAAGACCATAACATACAAGAGCAGAATTAGGCTATTCAGCCCATTGAGTCTGTTCCACAATTTGTTTCTCAATCTTATTATCCTACCTTCTCTCTGAAATCCTTGATCCTGTTACTTACCAAGAACCTATCCATGTCTGTGTCTTAAATGCACTCAATGACTTGACCTCCACAGCTTTTTGCAGCAATGAGTTCCACAAATTAACAACCCTCTGAAGAAATTCCCCCTCCACTCAGTTCTCAAGGGTCATCCCTTCAGTTTAAGGCTGTGCCCTTGGGCCCTAGTCTCTCCTACTAGTGGAAACATCTTCTCTACATCCGCTGTATCCAGGCTTCTCAGTATTCTGTAAGTTTTAATCATAACACTCCTCATCCTTCTGAACTCCATAGAATGCAGACCCAGAGTCCTCAACCACTCCATGTGATGTGCTGTTCATCCCAAGGATCATTCTTGTAAACTTCCTCCGGACCCCCTCCAATGCCAGCATGTCCTTCCTTGGATATGGGGTTCATGATATTCCAAATGTAGTCTGACCACAGCCTCATACAATCTCAGCAGTACATCACTGCATTTTTTTTCCAAGGTGTCTTGAAATGAATGTTAAGATTGCATATGCTGCCTTAACTGCAAAGTGAACCTACATGTTAACCTTGAGAGAGTAGTGAACTATAACTGTTAAGTCCCTTAAAGCCTTGGATTTCCGAAGCCTTTTCCTGTTTAGAAAATAGTCTACCATTTTCTTCCTACCAAAATGCATGAGTTCACGCTTTCCCAAATTATATTCCATCTGCCACTTCTTTGCTCACTTGCCTAGTCTGTCCAAGTTCTTCTGTAGCCTTCCTGCATCCTCAACACTACTTGTCTCTCCACCGACCTTTGTACCATCTGCAAACTTAGCAACAATGCTGTCTGTTCCTTTGTCCAGATTGTTAATGTGTAATATGAATCGCTGTGATCCCAATTCTGATTCCTGCTAGGAACTCCACTCATCACCAGCTGCCATCCTGCAAAAGATACCTTAATCCCCTCTCTCTGCTTCCTGCCAGTCAGCAAATCTTCTCTCTGTGCTAGTCCTTTCCCCCAATATCATGGGCTGTTGTCTTATTTAGCAGCTCCAAATAGATCATGTCCACTGGCTGTCTTTATGTCTATGTTTAACTTGGTCGTTGCCTCAAAGAATTCTAACAGATTGGGCAGGCGTGACCTCCCCTTGATGAAATAAAAACCAACAGAACTGCAGATGTTATGAATAAGAGACAAAAATAGAAATTGTTGGAGAAGTTCAGCAAGTCTGGCAGCTTCTGGAGAAAAATCAAAGGTAACATTTTGGGTTGAGTGACCCTTCCTCAGAACTGAAGAAGGCCCCTCAATGCATCTCAGCTATCTCTTCCAGAAGTATGGGGTGTAGTCCATCTGGTCCAGGTGATTTATACACCATGAGACTTTTCAGCTTCCTCAGCATCTTCTCCTTAGTAATTGTCACTACACTCCCCTCTGCATCTCTTGAAGTTCTGGTATGCAGCTGGTTTGGTCCACTGTGAAAACAGATGCAAAGTACTTATTCAGTTTCTCCGCCATTTCTTCATTCCCCACATACTTCTCCAGCCTGATTTTCTAGTAGTCCCATGTCCACCCTTGCCTCTTTCTGACGTTTTAGAGTCATAGAGCTGTACGGTATGGAAACAGAACCTTTGGTCCAACTCGTCCATGCCGACCAGATACCCTAAATAAATCTAGTCCCGTTCGCCAGCATTTGGCCCATATCCCTCTAAACCCTTCCTGTTCATATACCCTTCAAATGTAATTGTGCCAGCCTCCACCACTTCCTTTGGTGGCTCCTACATGCACCACCCTCTGCAGGAAAGATTTACACTTTAGGTCCCTTTTAAATCATTCCTCTCTGACCTTTAAACCTATGCCCTCTAGTTTTGGATTCCCCTACCCTGGGGAAAAGACCTTGGCTATTCACCCTATTTATGCCCCTCATGATTTTAAAAACTTCTATAAGGTCATCCCTCACTGTCTGACGCTGTAGGGAAAATAGCCCCAGCCTATTCAGCCTCTCCCTATATCTGAAACCCTCCAACCCTGGCAATATCCTTGTAAATGTTTTCTGAACCCTTTCAAGTTTCACAACATCTTTCCTATAGCAGAGAGACCAGAACTGAATGCAGTACTCCAAAAATCCCTAACCAATGTCCTGTACAGTTGCAACATGACCTCCCAACTCCTGTACTCAATGCACTGACCAATAAAGGCAATTTTAAATTTTTTTTAACTCTTGCAATTTTCTTTTATACTAGCTAGCGTAGCCTCATTTTTTTTATCTTCTGCCTTCATCTTATTGCTTTTTTGTTCATTCTCCTGGTTTTAAAGGTATCTCAATTCTCTGGCTTCCCACTAATCTCCACCACATTTGTATGTTGTTTTTTATTGTGGTCTCTGATATCCCTTTTGTCAGCCATAGTTGACTTGTCCTCCCTTTGTATGTTTATTCTCCTTGGATGAATTTCTGCTGTGCCTCCTAAAGTACCCCAGAAACTCTTGCTGTAACTGCTCCCTTGTCTTCCCTACTAAGTTCCCTTTCCAACCAGCTCTGGCCTCTTTTTGATATTTTATAGTTACCTTTACCCAATTGGTATTACATTACATTCAATTCCAGCTTCTCCCCCTCCAAACTGCAAGGTGAATCCCTATCCTGTTACTGTCACTGCTCCCTTGGGGTTCCTTTACCTTCAGCTCCCTGATGAAGTCTATCTCATTACACATCCAGAATTGACTGTTTCCTATTGGGCTCTACCACAAGCTGCTTCAAAAAGCCATTTCATAGACATTTTACAAATTCCTTCTCTTGAGATCTGCTACGAAAGTCCCTCAACTCGACCCACAAAGATTCTCTACGCCTTCTGACTCTATATCACTTATTGTTATCAATTTAACTTCCTTTCTTACGCGCAAGGCAATCCCGCCCCCTATGCTCATCTGCCTGTCTGTCCCATAGTATGCATAATCCTTGGATGTTTCGTTCCCAGTCTGGATCCCCTTTCAGCCATGTCTCTGTGATACCCACAACATTGTACCTGCCAATTTCAATTGTGGAATAAACTCATTACCTTGTTTCGTATACTGCAGTAAAGCATTTGATAAGGTTCCCCATGGTAGGCTATTGCAGAAAATACAGAGGCATGGGAGTGAGGGTGATTTAGCGGTTTGGATCAGAAATTGGCTAGCTGTAAGAAGACAGAGGGTGGTGGTTGATGGGAAATGTTCATCCTGGAGTTCAGTTACTAGTGGTGTACCTCGGATCTGTTTTGGGGCCACTGCTGTTTGTCATTTTTATAAATGACCTGGATGACGGCGTAGAAGGATGGGTTAGTAAATTTGTGGATGACACCAAAGTCGGTGGAGTTGTGGATAGTGCGGAAGAATGTTGCAGGTTACAGAGGGACATAGATAAGCTGCAGAGCTGAGCTGAGAGGTGGCAAATGGAGTTTAATGCGGAAAAGTGAGAGGTGATTCACTTTGGAAGGAGTAACAGGAATACAGAGTACTGGGCTAATGGTAAGATTCTTGGTAGTGTGGATGAGCAGAGAGATCTCGGTGTTCATGTGCATAGATCACTGAAAGTTGCCACCCAGGTTGATAGCGTTGTTAAGAAGGCATACGGTATGTTAGGTTTTATTGGTAGAGGGATTGAGTTTCGGAACCATGAGGTCATGTTGCAGCTATACAAAACTCTGGTGCGGCCGCACTTGGAGTATTGCGTATAGTTCTGGTCACCGCATTATAGGAAGGATGTGGAAGCATTGGAAAGGGTGCAGAGGAGATTTACCAGGATGTTGCCTGGTATGGAGGGAAGGTCTTATGAGGAAAGGCTGAGGGACTTGAGGCTGTTTTCGTTAGAGAGAAGAAGGTTAAGAGGTGACTTAATAGAGACATACAAGATGATCAGAGGATTAGATAGGGTGGACAGTGGGAGCCTTTTTCCTCGGATGGTGATGGCTAGCACGAGGGGACATAGCTTTAAATTGAGGGGTGATAGATATAGGACAGAGGTCAGAGGTAGGTTCTTTACTCAGAGAGTAGTAAGGGCATGGAATGCCCTGCCTGCAAAAGTAGTAGACTCGCCAACTTTAAGGGCATTTAAATTGTCATTGGATAAACATATGGATGATAATGGAATAGTTTAGGTTAGATGGGCTTCAGATTGGTTTCACAGGTCGGCGCAACATCGAGGGCCGAAGGGCCTGTAGTGTGCTGTTATGTTCTATGTTCTATTTTTGAACAGTAAAGGAATGATGAGCGGGCAGGTAAGTGGAGCTGAGTCGCAAAAAGATCAGCCATGATCATATTGAATGGCGGGGCAGGCTTGAGGGGCCAGATGGCCTACTCCTGCTCCTCGTCCTTATGTTCTTAAATACATAATTCTTTGAAGTTGATACATGTAGACAGGGTGGTTAAAAAAGCATTTAGCATGCTTGCCTCCATTGGTCAGATCTTTGAGTATAGGAGTTGGGATGTCATGTTGATTGTATAAGATGTTGGTGAGGCCTGTTCTCGAGTACTCTCTCGTTTTGGTCACCCTGTTATAGGATAGATATTAATAATAATAGAGGGTTCAGAAGAGACTTTCTGGGATGTTGCCAGGAATGGCAGGTTTGAGTTATAAGGAGCAGCTGGATAGGCTGAGACTTTTTTCATGGTAGCTTCTGTGGTTAAGAGATTGCCTTGCAGAGCTTTTAAAAATCATAAGGGGTATAAATAAGGTGAATGGCGGGTGTTCTTTCCCTGGGGTGGGGAATTTCAGAAGTAGGGGCATATTTTAAGATGAAAGGAGAAAAATTTTAAAGAAATGAGGGGCAACTCTTTTACACAATGGTTTGTGTGTGGAATGAACTTCCAAGGGAAGCGGTCGATAGGGGATTCTATGACAGCCTGATTCTCATAGTTGTCCCCTTATCTGCTGTATCTTAGGTTAGATTACTCCCTGTCTTATTACTTGTTCTAGAAACTTTAATAACTTTTGAGCTCTCCCCATCTTTTAACATTTTTCATAATTTTTCAACTGAATACCCCACCACCCCCACCACTCCCTGCCCCAATTATTTATTCCAAAACCCTATCCACAGCCATAGTTCTGTGATTTGCCAGGACCCGGGACCCAGCACGATTCAGGAGGAGCCTGTCCCGTTGAAACAGCCCATCCTTCCCCAGAAGTAGCTCCAACGTCCAATGGCGTCAAATCCATTTCTCCCACACCAATCTTTGAACCACATGTTTACCTCTTTAGTCATGTTGATCCTGTACTAATTTGCTCATGGCTTGGATAGTAATCTGTAGATTATTACCTTTTTTGGTGGTGTTTTCTAATTTAGCCCAATAGCTGCTCATATTCTCTCAGCAGAACCTCATTCTCTTTCCACCTATATCGTTGATACCAACGTGGACCAGTGCAACTGAACGTATCCCTTCCCACTCTTGATTCCTCTGCAACTCAGATGAGATATCCTGAATTCCAGCACAGGCAGGCAACACAGCCTTCAGAACTCTCAATCCTGGCCACAGAACAGTGCCTGTTCACCTGAGTATACTATCCCCGATTACAACTACATTTCTCTTTTCTCTCCCCTCTTGAATGGTTCCCTTTACCACTGTGCTATGGTTAGTTTGCTAATCCTCCCTCCAGCCCACACTGGGAGCAAGAATCATTAAACCTGTTAGACAAGCTCAAGGGTTAAGGCTCCTTCAGCACTACCTTCTGAATCTCTCTACCTGCCTTGCTTGTAGTCACACCCTCCTGTCCCTGATCACTAACTGAATTCAAGGTAGTTAATCTAACGGATGTGACTGCCTGTCGAACAAAACACCCAGGTAACTCCTCCAGTCGCTGATGTGTCAAAGCTCAGACTTCAGGATGTCAACTCTGAGCTTGAGTTCCTCAAGCAACCAACGCTGGCTCCAGATGAGGTCACTATGAACCACAATGGGGTGCACCACTACCACATCATGCAGATACAACACATTCCCTAGCCTAGCATCTCTTATTTATTTACTTAAGATTTTAATTTGATATTTAAAAATTCCGACTGGTCTTTTAGTTTGTAGGCTGTAACTATTTCCTCTTTTGCCTTCAGTCTGAAAGTAGCCTATACTAGATAATCAAATTAGTAGCTGTCACCAACCAATGAACTTGCAGTTTACCTGTGTCGCTCTTTTGTACTGGGCCCCTGATTTGGGTAAAACTTGAAAGAACTGTGGATGCTGTAAATCAAACAAAAAATAGAGATTGCTAGAAAAGCTCAGCAGGTCTGGTAACATTTCTGGAGAGAAATCAGAGTTAACGTTTTGGATTGAGTGAACCATTTCTGAGGATGGGTCACTCAATCTGCAACACTAACTCCGATTTCTCTCCACAGATGCTACCAGACCTTCTGAGCTTTTCCAGCAATCTCTATTGTTCCCCTGACTCTCAGTTTCAATTTATCCTGTTTTTCCAAAAACTTCACAACCTATGAGCCAAAAAAGTAAACAAAAAGCACCCCTCTCCCCCTGCACCAAATTTCCACGCTGCCTCAAGTTCCCCAAGCTCAGGCTGAAATGACTTGCACATGTTAAGCTTCAACAGCAATCAACACCTATTGAGGACCTAATTCAGGCTTTAGATGATTGTGGGACAGTTATTCAATCAGCCAAGTTAGTTACCTTTATTAACTTTTCCACTAGACTACTGAAGTTTACACTTCTTCTAAAATCCATTTGAAAAAAAACAGCATTACATTTGTTTTCCTATTGCCTGCTGGTTTTTGCTGCTAGCTTTGTGATTTGTGCATGAGGATCCACAAATCTGTGCTGCAGCTTCCTGCAGCCTTTCTCCATTTAAATTCAGCTCTTCTACTCTTCCTGCCAAAGTAAGTTCCTTTTGATTTCCCACATTTTATTCTATCTGACAAGTTTCTGCCCACTCTTAAACTTATTTTCCCTCTGAATGCTGTTTCATCCTTGCTATTTCCTTTCCCTCAAAACTCAACACTATCCAGGACAAAACAGCTTGCTTGATCACATCATACCTATCACTTTAAGCATTCACATATCACAACTGGTGCACAGTGGCAGCAGTGTGTTCTGTATACGAGGAAGCACTGCAGAAACCTGCCAAGGGTCCTTCAACAGTGCTATCCAATCCCACAGCCTCTAGCAGCTAGGAGAACAGGGTAGCAGCACAAACACCACTTGCTGTGTTCCCCTTCAAGTCATGTATCTTGATTTGGAGCAGTTTGCCATTCCTTCACTGTCACTGGGTCAAAATCCAAAGCTGCCTGTTGTGGGTCCTCAACTACATTGGATGCAGCAGTTCAGAATTGTGATTCTTCATCACCTCTAGGTCAATTGCCGATGGGCAATCAGTTCTGGTTTTGGTGACGCTAACACCCCACGAATGTTTGTTTGTTTTTTTTCAAATCTATTTTGTTACCTACAATTCTGAATGAAGTATCCTGATTTGTTGACTGAGAGAAGTTAATCAAATTTAATGAGTTCTTTTCTCCCCTTGGCAGGAGCTGGAAGAATTCACCTTTATAACCCAGCTGGCTGGACTAACTGACCATCTTCCTATTGGAATGAGGCTGTTCATTTCCATGGTGCCAGAGGAAGATGATGCAAGTCATGGCGTTGATGATGGACTTTGACAAACCCACTGCAACCAAACGGATTTGGATAAGTGCCGGAAGCTTCAGAAAGTGAATAAGAGAAATAACTTAATTTTATTTTTAAAAAGAAACAGTAAATAAAACTTTAGAATTTCTCAATACTGATCAGAACAAAAAACGTGATATTGAGAATCTTCAGCTGCTCCAGATGAGCAACGTTGACAATGGACAGTGGGGCATATCCCAAAATAATACTTGGGATTGTATTTTCATCATGGTTGGGAAATGAGCAGGGCTTGTTTAGTGGCAATAGAACCTACCTGTGGCAGGAAACTGATTGAAGTCACAAATTTCAAGGGCATTGACCCTTAATTGATCTGGATACTAATTCCTTGCTCAATTGGAAACAGTGGGAGTGGGTCAGGTCAAGTGTGGGACTTGATTGAGGACTCCCATTGGAAGTTTAGTTGAAGTTTCTGTTTCTCTGAAAGGAGAAATCTGATGCCATATCTTTTGGCAGATGTAAGAAAGCGGCCACTGGAGAGCCAAATGCCTAACACGCAAAGCAGAGCTGACCTGAATCTAATTTTGGTGGCTGTGAAAGAGAAGAAAAGAGTGTTATGTGGAGGCCACTGTGCAGAGCACTGGTCTGTTTTTTTTCAACTGTGTCTGTAGAGGGTTTTCCTCTATTGCACTATATAAATGACACTTAAAGTTCTGGGACTCATTGCTGGTCTCTCAGAAGCAAATACAGTAACTGGTAGTGACACAGATAACTGGATGATCCACGGTGAGAGTAAAGGCTCTGGATACGTGGACTTGCCCCCACCTTGGTAAGTAACTAGTCCAGGCTGTGTCTTCCACTTATGTATTAATATTATTACTAGTTTCTCAGCTGCCCAAACTGCCCCTCTGCCCCCACCCCCCCAAAATCTCTCTCACATGCCCCTGAACCTAGGTCGTGGGCTGAGTTGAAATTTCCTGATGCAGAAGGCCAATTAACTTCTCCCATCAGTTGCTGTGAGCTGTTTCTTTTGAGCAATAAGTCAGAGACTTTATAATTTGTGAGCCAGTCACTCTGTCTACTGCAAGAAAGTACAAAGTACCTGAAGAAGAAACTTTGAAAAACAGGAACTTCAGCAAGCAAAAGGATCATCTGTGAATCCTGTGGGCTGGAAATAGTGGGGCTTGGTTTCCAGCATGAAACCCAAGGGAGGTATGACCAAGTTTGAAGATTTGTCTGGGAACAAATTTGAAACACATACTGAGGTCAGGTGACCCATGATGTCCAGCATTGTTACAGAAATGTTGGCCTTTTTTTGAGTAGATTTAAAAACTCAAAAATTCGAAGCCAAGTTTAAACCTAGTTGGACTCTGTAATTTGCAAACTGAAGAGCTGGAACAGACAGTATTCATGCAGCCCAGGATGTGGAAAATCAACTTCCCATTGAAACCAGACAGGCTTCGAACTGATCTCAAGGGCCCACCTGTGTCAAAACAAAACAGGAGCGCCTAAGGAAACCTGGGAAGCAGAGAGACCCATTAAAAACATTTGTAGACTGATCATCTTCTATGGTGGAGAATGGATGCCAATAGACAGGATATGGCATATATGTAGAAAACCATTGGGTGAACCCCTGGTGGAATGAGTGCTAAAGCTGCCTGATGAAATAGGTGCTCAAACTGCTGATCTAGCAGCCTCGGCCTACATGGTCAGCCACTTGAACAGCATGATTGTGTGCAACAATTTTATGACTTCCTACCAATATGGAAAGATTTGTCTCAGCAGATGGAAAACCTCTACCATCTGCACACCTGCTTAAATTTATTTTCTAGACTGCCCAAGGTCATGAGTTACACAATTATTAAAGAATTCCCCCAATTGGGGACAAAATGGCAGATGAATCAGCCAAGCAGGCACCTACGGGGGTGAACCAGAACAGATAGATGCCGTCGCTGTGAGTCAAACTAAAGTCATGGATCTCATACAGGCTCGTGCAGCAATGAACTCTTAAAGCAACTATGGATGGGAACACACCCAGCCTCCTATAGTAAACCAAAGCATAAACTGACCACCAAAAACGAACTTGTTACAGGCAGACGGTACAAGACTGAAACAGAATTTATCAATGTCATACTGTCCAGGGCCATCAGAGTATAGAAGCCACTGCAGAGAGAATTGGGGGATTTTGTGGCCAGAAATAATCCAGGAAACTATAGACTGGTGAGTCTCATCCGAGATTGGGAAGCTATTGGCAAGAATTCTTTAGGGATAGGATTTACGCACATTTGGAAAAGCGTAGCCTAACTTTTCAAGGAAGTGACGAAGGTGATTGAAGGTAGATGAATGTTGTTAACATGGATTTTAGTAAGGTTTTTGGCAAGGTCCATCATTGTAGGCACCTCCGGAAAATTAAGATGCATGGGATCCACAGTGACTGGCTGCATGGATTCAGAATTGGCTTGCCCATAGACAAGGTAGTGGTGGAAGATTGTTTTTCAGGCTAGTGGTGTTCTGCAGGGATCTGTACGGGGACCTCTGCTGTTTTGTGATTATATATAAATGAATTAGATGAAAATGTAGATGGGTGGGTTTCTAAGTTGCAGGCAATACAAAGATCGTGGAGTTGTGGATAGTGTAGAAGGTTTTCGAAGGATACAGCAGGATATAGAACAGATGCAGATATGGGTAGAGAAATGGCAGATGGAGTTTAATCCGGGTAAGTGTGAGGTCAAAGGTTAAAGAAAGGTTTACAGTTATTGCAGGACTCTGAACAGCCTTGATGTACAGAAGGATCTTGGGATTCAAGTCCATAGCTCCCTGAAAGTGGCCACACAGGTAGATAGGCCGCATTTAGAGTATTACGTTCAATTCTGGTTGCCACATTACAGGAAGGATGTGGAGGCTTTGGAAAGGGTGCAGAAGAGGTTTACCAGGATGCTGCCTGGATTAGAGGGTATGAACTAAAAGGAGAGACTAGAAAAACTCAAGTTATTTTCTCTTGAGCAGCAGAGGCTGAGGGAAGACTTGATAGAAGTTTATAAAATTGAAGTGCATAGATAGGGTTGACAGTCAGAATCTTTTGTCCAAAGTTGAAATGTCTAATACTAGGGGGCATGCATTTAAGGTAGTGGGGATGGGAGGGTTGCGGATTGTTTTTTAACACAGTGATAGGAGTCTGGGATGCACTGCCCCAGGTGGTAGTGGAGGCAGATACGGTAAGGACTTCTAAGGGACTTCTAGATAAGCACATGAATATTCAAGGAATGGAGGAATATGGAACAAGGGCAAGCAGAAAGGATCAGTTTCATTTGGTGTCATGTTCAGCACAACATCGTGGGCCAAAGGGCCCATTTCTGTGCTATCCAGTTCTATATTCTATATAGAAACAGTAAAGATACAATAGAATTTTCAACATAATATTTTGTGTGTACCCATACAATCTTGACAAATGTGCTGACAAAAGATAATTATGACTTTTTTTATTTGACATATCAGGCTAGTGATAGGACTGTGGACCGACCTCCAAGTAGATTTTGTCTGCATCCTACTACTCTACAAAGGGAGGTACAAGTATATCTTGGTCATTGTGATATTTTTAGTTAGAGGATAAAAGTGTTCCCAACCCAAAGTAACATTGGTAAACTTACAAAGGACCTTTTTTAATATTGACACATGTTCACTAGATCCAAACAGAGGGTGCTGCGACATTGCTCATTTGCATTCTGGGAGTGAACTTCACAGTCAGCTTGGGTGTGAAGGGTGTCATGGAAGAACCTGCTGTTATGGAATGGTCAGCCCCAAACATTACTATACTGTTTCCATTCCCCCCTCCTCTCCTCTCTCCAAAAGAAAAGGGGACGTAAGGCTCTGTGGAAAGGAGACTGAAGGTGAGAGGAAGGTCGGCCATGAGAGTTCCAGTGGGTAAAGGAGCGTGAGCCTGAACAGCTTCTGGAAACTGTTGTTAGTGAGAGTAACAGGTAAGTTTTGAGAAATTCAGTGCAGAGAGCATCAGCAGCTTCAATTTAGTATTAAAAGCACTTCGCATTGTGAGGATTAATTTAAGTTAAAGTGGTAAGACGTGGCACAAAAGCTTCAAATTAGTGTGCTCCTCCGGTTTGATGTGGGAAGCTGGGCACACTTCCACTGCTCAAGACCTGCATGTGCACAGGAAGTGTCTCCAGCTGCAGCTCCTGGAAGCCTGAGCTTTGGAGTTGGAACGACGTCTGGGGACACTGTGGAGCATTTGTGAAGCGAAGAGTATCATTGATAGCATGTATAGAGATGTGGTCACACCGCAGACTTGGACTCCACAGGCAGGAAGGGAATGGGTGACCACCAGGCAGTACAGGAATCTCTCCAGGCAGTTCGAGAATCTCTTGTGGCTATTCCCCTGCAAAATAGATAGAAATACTGTTGAGGTGAATGGCGTCTCGGGATAACAGCAGCAGCCAAATCCATGTCACCATGGTTGGCTCGACTGCAGAGGGAGGGAGAAATAGGCATAGAAATGTTATAGTTGTTGGGGATTCAATCAGGGAATAGATAGGTGTTTCTGTGGCAGCAAACAAGACTCCAGGATGGTTTGTTGCCTCCCTGGTGCAAGGGTCCTGAATGTCTCGGAGCGGTTACAGGACGTTCTGGAGGGGGTGGGTGAACAGCCAGGGATCATGGTACAAGTTGGTACCAACAACATAGGTAAAAAAGGGATGAGATCCTAAAAGCAGAAAATAAAGAACTAGGCAGAAAGTTGAAACATAGGACCTCAAAGGTAGTTATCTCAGGATTACTACCAGTGCCACGAGCTAGTCAGTAGAAACAGCAGGATATATAGGATGGACACTTGGCTGAAAAGATGGCGTGAGGGGAAGTGTTTCAGACTTGTGGGGCATTGGCACCGGTTCTAGGGGGAGATGGGATCTGTACAAACTGGACGGGTTACACCCAGTCTGGACCAGGAATAATGTTCTTTGTGGGGAACTTGGTAGACTGGTCAGGGACGGTTTAAAGTCATGCGGCAGGGGGATGGGAACTGGAGGAGTAGGGCCGTAGATGCAGAAACTGATGGAGAGGTAGAAACTAAGACAAACGTGACTTAGAACAAGAATAGGTCGGAAGCGCTGCTGAAAAGAGCAGGGGAGGTGGTCTGAAATGTATGTGTTTCAACGCAAAGAGTATAATAGCAAGGTAGATGAACTTGGAGCTTTGATTAGTACTTAGAACTATGACATTATTATGATTTACAGAGACTTCTCTGAAAGAGGGACAGGATTGGCAGCTGAATGTCATATGATTTAGATGTTTGAGGTGTGATTGGGCA